TACTGTTATGATTTTGTTTTTCATTACGATTGTTACTGTTCTATCCTTATTTCTATCTTTATTTTTTATGAAGACAGTTAAAAAAAGAAAAAGCCTCAGCGGTCTCGAGCTGAATACAAACGTGCCTTCATTTCACGTGTTCTGCAGGAAGTGAACTGGGCAACCGGATGGAAGAAATCAGAAAAGAAGATGAACCACTGAATATTGAAATCCCACGCTGTGGTCAAACTGTCTGTGATAATCCTGCAGTAGCCGGTAACTATTTGCACCAGTGGGATATGCACGCCCTCAAAACGCTCAGATACCGCGTCGTTGTGATTAGCGACGATGATGGAAGGTGCGGGATTCAATTTACTGTCCAGAATTAATTCATGTCAGAATGCAAACTGGCGCTAGATGCTCTGGAAAAATAGTAGACTAGTGATTTAGTCTTAATTACGGAAAGCTGTAGATGAATTGGAAGCAGGAATCGAGAAGTTTGGTGAACTTTGTTCACTACTTTTGCGGTCAAGTATCGAAATGATGAAGAGTAGAAAATTCGGATGAAAGTGAGAGTTATTAGGCTTGCCAAAAGAAGCACAAAAGAAAGAGTAGGACGAGTTTGTCGAACTAGTGGGCAAACGATTGTAAAGAGGACAGAAAAGTATAATTTTGTGCATGGTTCCCCACTGGGCGCTCTTCTAGATTGAGATAAACATAAAACATTTAGCACTGTTGTGGGACTGCACATAAATCTGAGAATGCATTAAAAATACAGAGTTTCAGCTTGTATTTACAGATCACTAATTGTGAAAGAATTCTGGTTTGTCAGAACATACCAAAATCTCTCGGACTAACAGTGTGGAATCCGCCTTTTATTGATGTTATTAGGATGCCCCCGCATACTAGACCAGGTCCTTCGGTCCCGAGCTGCATACCTTCAGTTAGTGCCCTCTGCCTTTTTCTCTGTATGTGCTTCGCCTCTTCGAGGGTCACCCGAGTAGTCGTTTACTTTCTCAGAAATACCACTTAATGCGCATCGTACCACCGGTTGTCAGCAAAGTAGGCAGCACGTCCTGCCCATCGGTTTTTGCT